CCCTTCCTCAGCTGTCTCAGAAGACCTTCCTTCTACCTATAGTTCTTTCTGTGCCTCATGTGGTTCCTGACTTTCCCCAGCATCCTGCTGGGTTCTCATTCTGTCCTGTGGTCTCTCTTCAGCCTACTTTGGAAAAGCTCCTAATGTGTGCCAGCCCAGGCAGTCTTATTCAACTACCTATATAGATAGCATAGTACTGTGCTTCCTTTTGTCACTCGTTCATTAATTCTGAACACATTTAAGGGCCCACTATGCACCAAACATGTGAGATACAGAAAAAAAAAAAACAAAACAACAAAAATCGCCATCATTAAAGTTATATTCTACTACAAGGGCAGCCAGACAATACATAATTAAAACAGGATAAATAAATTATATATAAGTTGAGATCCCTTATCCAAAATGGTTGGGACCAGAAGTGCTTGAGATTTTAGAGTTTTTTGGATTTTGGAATATTTGCATATACTTTACTCATTTAGTATTCCTGATCCAAAAATCTGAAAGCTGAAATGCTCCAAATTCTGAAACTTTCTGAGTACTGTGGTGTTCAGAACGTTTCAGAATTTAGAGCACTTCAGATTTAGAATTTTGGGGTTAGGAATGCTCAACCTGTATTTATTTAGAAAGTGATAGTTTCTTGAGAAAAATTCACAGTAGGGTAAGGACATCAAGAGATGGAAGGAAAAAGGAGCAGTTCTTAAGAGTGCTCAAGATGGGCCTCACTGCAGATGGAGCCAACTGAATAGAGACTTGAAGGAGATGCAAGGTGTCTGGGACATCTAGATGGTGTGTGGGGAGGTCCAACCTGGCAGTTTCCAGGAACAGGCAGGAGGGATGGAGCAGGATACCGTGAGGTCATGGAGGTTCTTGTGGGCCTTAGCACAGTCTGAGCAAGATGGAGGACATAGCAGGGACCCTGTTACTTAAAAGATCACTCTGCTGCGTGGAACGCTGCAGGGAAGCAAAGGTAGAAGGAGGTAGCTGCTTGAGCTTCAAAGCTTGCCCCAGGGTTGCACTTTTCATGGTGTTGGCGCTAAAGGTGGTATCCAGATCTAACACCAGAGCCCATGTCCTGTGCTGACCTCACCAATCCCCTCTTCCTGATGGGTGAAGCCAGGGGTGCTGTTCTTCCTGGCCCAGGTTCTGAGGGAGAATGGGATGGGTAGTGGATATAACCCACTGTTCTTTCCCTAGACCCCCAGATGATCTCCCTGGGGCCTCAAAGCAGGGAGGTCCTGTCTCCTCTAGGCACATGCTCCAGGCCTGGATGTAGGTGTAGGAGGTGAGAGTTCTCAGAAGCCAGGCCCAGCACTGGGAACCAAGGGAGTTTGGGCTTGCTGTAGCTGTGGCTAAGGTGGTGAGTTGCTAGGTGACTCCAAGAGGGAGCCCTGGTTACTGCTGCCTGGTATAGGCGGCTCACTCCTTTACCTCTCTCGCCTTCTGCATGGCCTCTGGCTTCCCAGGAGACTTTGCACGCAAACCAGAGTTATGATCAGTGCTTACCACTGGATCTTGGTGGGGAGCTCTGATTGGTACCAGGTAGCAAGGGCCAGAAAAGCCATAATGGCCTGAAGGACCTGGGCTTCTCTCCTGGGGCATAGCCCTGATGCATGCCTGGTATAGAGCCCAGCTCAGCAATCAAAGACATAGGTCCTTATGCAGCTATGAGCCACCTCCCTGCACAACACTGGGGCCTCCACCAGCTCCCTGGCCCGCAGGCTTCAGCTGTCACATCTCTCTGGCCTGCAGAATCCCCCCCAAGGATTTTTTTTCAAAGGGGGCGGGTGCTGAGTGTGCAGGGCTCTATATAATCTCATTCCCTCCCCTGATGGCTCCGGTGCCTAGCACTTCAGTTTTTGCATTAGATTGCACTTCCAAAAGAGTTCCACTGCTTTTTTAAAAAAAAAATGTTTGAAACCTCTAGACTGTATGATTCCAAGAATTTTCAGTATCAAACTAGAAAGGCGCCCAGAGTACAACTGGCCCATGTCATCAGTATGTAGGGAGGGAAACCAAGTCCTGGACAAGAGAAGGGACTTGGGTTAGGTCAGGCTTGGTAGACTGAGAAGAACACTGGACTGGGGGTCAGGAGGCCTGCACTCACACTCCTACTCTGACACCGGGTCCTGGGCCACCTTGGGCAAATCCTTGGACCAACCACTGTGTCAGGCTGGGTCTGACCTGGGTTCCCAGGTTCCTGGCTGGGGGGCAGGAGGGAGATCATAGAAGGATGCAAACCTTTGTAGGGCTGTAGCATGTCTTGGCCTAGAGAATGTAATCTAAAATATTTTTATAATGTTTATAAAGAAATGCAGAAAGTGTGGGGCTTCAGAGTACAGCTCAGTGGGCCTGGGTTCAATCCACAACACTGCCAGAAAGAAAATATAGATGTATTATGAAGTACATGTAAAATTCCCTTGAATTATAAAATGGAAGCCCAAATCTTTGTAGGAAATTCTGACCTTGCAATAAGCCCCTAGCCTTCTTGTGTCACAGGCTTCTAAGGATGCTTTATGTGGCAAGATGGAGGAGCACTGGAGTACTGGTTTCCCATGATTCTTTTCTGCGACTAGCTTTTCTGTCCCATGGCAGAATATAATAATGTCCTTTAGCCTCAGAGTTTTTTAGAGCAATCTGAAATTAATGCCTGGGTTGTATGGTTAACAAGCTGTGTGACCTTGGCAACTCAGTCTCTGAGTCTCTCTCACCTTATGCTGAGATATGGATCCCAAATCTTGACTCTGTGGAGTCTGACATAGTGATTATGTGAGATAAGCTCTTTGAGTGCCAGGGCTAAACAGGCTGGTACTAACTAGGTGCTGGTACCTGGCAGTGTCCATCCTTCTCCCCCGGCACTCTGCACCAGGCTAGCATGAAATGACACTGATAAAGAGGTGTTGCCTGATCCACCTCCAGCTGAAGAAGTGAGGAGGTAGGAGGTAGAACCTCTGGCAAGCCAGACAGTCCTCTGGGGGGTGACAATGGAGGCCTCCTGGGCCCTGAACACAGGTGCGGGGGAGGGGCCAGGGAGCCAGGTGCAAGGGCCGGGATGGGAAAGGGGTATGCACTTGAGGAAACATCACACCCTGGGGATTGAGCTCCCCTCCTTTCAGGGCCCCAGGAGAAGCCAGGCAGGGCAAGGCTGGCAAGCCCCAGCTGTTGCTCCCAAGGCCAGAAAGTGCCAGAGATAGGGAGCCTGAGGCCCCAAACAGTCAAGACAAGACCAGGAGCACAGATGGGGTTAGAAGGTACCCTAGGCAGCAGAAGGGCTCTCCCACAGACTTGCAGTCTCCACCAGTCCTCACAGCACAGTGGCTGGTTACAAGTGTGGCTCAGTGGATTAACGGGTTAAGAGCAGGTCTATGACCTGGGCAGAGCTGGGTAGTCCCTGGCATTGCTCCCTAGCTGTGGGACTGTGGGCAAGTTACATCATGCCTCTGGGCCTCTGTCACCTGGTAGATGAAGTGGGGTAACGCCACCTTCCCCAAGAGGTTGGTGCGCAGCACAGCCGTGCTCGGGGAGTGATGTGAAGCACATAGAGACAGTAGGTCTGCTGAGTGACTTTACAGGTGAGATCTTCTAGCCAGGGTGAGGGTTTACCCTACATTTATGAGCACTTGTGTTCACCAGCACTTAACCACACACATTAGCTCACGACAGCTTTATCAGGTGGTTATGACTAGCCATTTTTTTTTCAGAGTAGCTCAGAGACTGATACACAGCCACAGGCACCTAGCTAGGACCCAGAGGGCCTGGCATTCTGCCCAGGCCTCTGATAGCCAAGCTCATGCTGTTTCTATAGCAGTGCCTCTGAGCAGTGAGGTCAAGGCCACCAGTTAGGAGGCTCTGCAGGAGTTCTACTTCAGGTACCTGTGGACTCTCCTGCCTTCCTGGGTCTCCAGGACAGGTCTGGCCCGAGCAGGCCTGGAAGCACTGCAGATTGGCAGTGCAGAAACTAAGAGGATATGGACAGGGTTGGCATCAATGAAGGGATACCAGAAAGCCATGGAGACTTCTTGTCTGAAAATGGGGAGTATTGGGGCGTGGGGGTTGTGTGAAGAGCCACTAGGAAGGAGTTGAGGGCAGAGCTGTGGCAGGTGAGGCATTTGGGGCTGGAACACTGGAGAGCTGGACTGTGCTATAGGCAGGGGTGGTCTGATATCTACGTGCCAGAGGTGATTGTTAAGGGGTTTACTGGGATCCAAGGTTTCTTGGAAGTTTTCAGGAGCTCAGAGTAGCTGGGGAGAGACTTCTCAGAAGTCTTCTGCCTGTACCCACCTTGTGGACTCCCCCAGCCTATTCTGCTTTCCTGGCCAGGCCCTCCCAGCAAAGGGTTAACAGCCTTCTCTACCTGCAGTTGCATTTTAAAGACACGAAATTAAAGCAGGTAATTTATTCTCCCCACACACGAAAGAGCAATTAGTTCTAAACAGGGCTTAATCAGTCACCGCGAGATTGATTTCTGGAGCCCTGGGTTTTCGGGCTTCTGGCGCCATGCCAGGCTGGGGAGGGAGGGGGGGCGAACAAATGAGCCGCAGCGGCATGAGCCCTTACATAATCTGCTGGGGGGCCGTGGCAGCCTGGCTAGCCCCTTGAGGTGCCCCTGGCAGAGCTGGGGAGAGGGGATCCGCTTCTCTGCTGCTAGACCCCTGGGCTCTGAGCCGCCCAGGGGTTAGCCACGCCTCCACGGAAGGGCAAGGCCAAAGCTTTAGCCCCACCCTCTGGGCTGAGTCTCCTTGTGGGTGGGGATGTGCGGGTGTGGTTTGCAGGTACTGCTCGGGTACACGCAGGATGGGTGTGGTGGGCTTGTCCAACCTGGTACTTACACTTGCACCCCTTCTTCTCCCGACTTCCCCATCTCCTCCCCTCCCTCCTCCTCTCTTCTCTCCTCATCCTCTCTCACTTCTCTGCCTCCTTCCTGCCTCTTGCTATCACTAACGCCTGTCTCATGGCCTCCTCACTTCCCACTCCCCCACCCACACCCTTGTCTTTGGCCACAGAACTCCATCCGGCACAACCTGTCGCTGCACACCCGCTTCATCCGCGTGCAGAACGAGGGCACTGGCAAGAGTTCCTGGTGGATGCTGAACCCTGAGGGCGGAAAGACAGGCAAGACCCCGCGGCGCAGGGCCGTGTCCATGGACAATGGGGCCAAGTTCCTGCGTATCAAGGGCAAGGCGAGCAAGAAGAAGCAGCTGCAAGCACCGGAGCGGAGCCCCGACGACAGCCCTCCCGGCGCGCCTGTCCCGGGGTCCCTGGCTGCCACGGCCAAGTCTGGTGGATGCTGAACCCTGAGGGCGGAAAGACAGGCAAGACCCCGCGGCGCAGGGCCGTGTCCATGGACAATGGGGCCAAGTTCCTGCGTATCAAGGGCAAGGCGAGCAAGAAGAAGCAGCTGCAAGCACCGGAGCGGAGCCCCGACGACAGCCCTCCCGGCGCGCCTGTCCCGGGGTCCCTGGCTGCCACGGCCAAGTGTACCTCCAGCCCGGC